CCGTCGTCGGCGGCACCACCGCCGTCGCGCCATCGCGCGACGTACACGATCACCTCGGCCGCCGAGCGCGCGATCACGACCGCGGCGGCGCACTGAGTCCGCTTTTCGCGCGCGTTTCGCCCGCGGGCGTCGTTTCGCGCGCGCGCGCCACACCACCGACGCCGTCCCATCCGAGCCCCTGGCCGACGCCGTCCCTCGCGGACGTCCCCGGACTGGGGCGGACGCGTCGTGACCGCCCCCGGGACCACCCGGTATCGTTAGCAATTGTTTCGTACTTCTGGGGGGGGTCGACCGTGGTCAGAGCCCTTAACCACTGTCATGCTGATCTGAGATGAGTGCTCTGAGAATGGGGTGAGGTAGTGGTGGTGGTGGTGGGGGTGGTACCCCTGGGGCCGCTGGAGACCACTCGAATCCACCGGAAATATGCTTGTTTTGGCTCTATCGACCAGTTTTGATCTCGAGCTTGAGCAAACTGGTGGTTTTGACGCTCGATCATAAATTTCGACCGTGTGGAGGTCATGGCCGAGCAGCCCTCCAGCTGCCGATCGGCCAGAACGGGTGGTTCACAGGCTTCGTTGACCCCATGTTGCAGCTGTTTTGACCACTCATTTTGAGCAAGTCGCGACTCAGGTGGGTGGGGTAGTGGTGCTTGGTGTCGTGGGGTGGTTCACTGCCGGCCTCACGCCGACTTTGAAGCGCCAAAGCGAGCCGCCATCGACGCCGATCTACGCGATGAAGGATGGGACTCATCAGGGAAAAATAAAAGTAAAATCAGAGTACCGGGGGAAAAGACGGTGCGGGGAGGCTTAAGGGGCGTCGCGGGGTCGCAAAAGTCGTCCAAAAGGGCCCCTGGCCGAAAAGGCCCAGTTGCACGCACGACCCAGGTTGGGTCGTTGTGGTGCTGCAGGGCGGCCATGGGCGGCGGGGTTGGTCATAGGGTTCATGGGGGGTCGTGCGCTGCGTCGGGCACGGTCGGGGTAGCGTCGGGGGGCCACTGCTAGGTGCTGGAGGGGCTCCCGAAGGCCCGTGGCGCCGTCGACGCGTCCGTACGCGCACTCTGGAGCTACATCTCAGCATCTTGTTCCTCTTCCTCGTCGTCATCGTCGTCGTCGTCGTCTTCTTCGTCGTCGCCTTCTTCTTCATCGTCATCTTCCTCCTCGTCGTCCGCGTCGTCGTCTGACAGCGAATCGGGCTCGAGGAACGCTTCGGCAGGATCCCACGCGCGGCTGTCGCTCTTGCCGCGAGCCCGGCGCGTCGCCGGCGTGTTCTTGTTCCGCTGGGCCTTGCGAGTGCCGCCGGGGGACGCGCCGTCGTCCTCCTCCTCGGACGAGCTCGACTCGACGAGTTCCGGTTCTTCGCCCCAGATTTGAAGGGCAAGCGGCTGTGTTGAGGTCCCTGTTGAAGTACAAGTTGGAGCGGCGTTTAACATATCCCGCCGGCGGGATATGTTATCTCCTTCTCACACATATATAATTCCGCGTGCGCCTTCATCTTCCGGACGACCGCGACGTAGAGCCCGTTCCACCACGGGTTCGGCAACTTGAGCACGCTGTGCTCGTTGATGGATGCGCCGTTCGCGCGCCCGCCCCCCAGCACCTCGCCGTAGACGACGTCGTAGCCGAGTCGAGCGAACGCGTCTCGCGTGCCCAGGCGGACGGGCTCGTGGTTCCAGTCGTCGACGAGCGCCACGAAGACGTCCTCGAGGGCTTCGTCGAAGTGCGTGAACGCGCGGAACTGGTCGTCGTACTCGTGGTCGCCGTCGTAGAGGTACCTGCGCGGGCGACGGTCGCGTCGACGTGTCGCGATGGCGGCGCCGCGGCGATGTCGCGGGCCTCGTCGCGGCGGCGTCGCGCGCGATGATTTCCGCGCCGGCCGCGGGTACACGTTGAAGCGCCCGATCGTCGCCGCGTCCACGGAAAAGCAGTCGGCGACGCGCAGCTCCCGGCGGTCCGCCGCGCGCGGGTCGAGGAACGTCTCCAGGTTCGCGAGCGCCTCGTCGCGCACCTCGGCGCCCGACTGTCTGATGTCCCCGACGAACGTCGCGTCGCCGCCGAACGCGTACGAGTCGACCGCCAGCGCGCGGTCGACCTGAAATTCGTTGCCGGCCAGCGCCTGCGCGGCGACGACGCGTCGACGGCGAGGGTATGGCGGCGGCGACGGGGCGGCGAGGATGCCACGCGGCGACGCGTCTCGAGTTCCGCGCGGGGCTTCGCGGCGACGAAATCAACCACTGGTTTGGGGGTCCTGACAAAACTTCAGAACTCTCTAGCTCGGTCAAATCGAAGTCGATTCTGCTGACTTTTAGACGAATCGACCGCTCTCGTCGAGCTCTCGAAGCACGGCAGAAGAGCTTGTGTGAACACGGTCGCTGATATGCACCTTGAAGTCACCTTGAAGATTTGATTTTGGCGCGGGCGCTTCGCGGCGACGAGCGTGCTCCCTTTGAAGGTGCCGATCTCCAAGTACCGCGAGCCGGCGGCGTTCAGCAGGTTGTTGAGGAGGTGCCGGCCGTAGGCGTCCGACATGCCCACGATGTCCAGCGCGCCCCGGTAGTCCGGCGCCGTCAGCGCCGAGAGCCCGCGCCGCGCCGCGCGGACTGCGAACGCCACGTGGGCCGCGAGGCCGTCCGCGCGGTCGCCCCAGCGGAACGCCGCGCCGACGGCCGCGGTCGGCGTCAGCAGCGCCCGGATCGGCGCCTCGGCCGCAACCTGGGCCGCCGCGACGTCGCGCGCCTCGGCGAGCGCCGCGGGCACCAGCGTCGCGACGTGGTCGTCGGAGATCCGACCCGCCACCACGCGGCGCAGCCCGTCCCGCACGAGCGCGGCGACGTCGTCATCGACTACGAGGCGCTCTCGATCTATACTCAGCCTGACGACGAACTCGTCGCCGGCGACCGAGAGGTCGTTCACCTCGAAGCTGATGTCGACGCCGGCGCCGGCGCACCGGGCCGCGCAGAGCAGCAGGACGGCGAACGCGCGCCCAGCCATCGATCCCGCCGCAGCGATGAATGCGGCGTGTCGCAGCGATGAATGCGGGGCCGCGCGGTGCTCGTGCGGTGGTTCTGGACAGGAGGTCCAGAGCAACAATGTCATACAATAGACTTCTAACCTACCTACTATTGTATCCGTCAGGACTATCATTGAACCACCTGTCGTACACAGAGCGCTCTCCCGGCCACACACGCCTCCGGCTGCGGGATTGCGCGACATCATCGTCTTCCTCGTCGCGGCGCGGATAATTTCGGTGCTTTGAACATGTCGTAACTCGGCGATGGCGCTGAGATAGCGCACGCAGCAGCTCGGAGAACGATAGTCCTCTCCGAAGCTTTGATAGTCCTCTCCGTCTTTGCGGCGGCACATCGTCGCGACGTTGCGCGGCGCGATGCTCGGGCTGCTTCAGGGCTCGGGTCCGGCCCCCGGGCCGGGCGCGGACCAGGCACCAGACACAAATTTAGTGTTTTTGGGTGCCCGCGAGGCTGCCCCGAATCGACTTGTTTGAGCGCCCACGACATGGCGCACAGCACTACGAGCCCGACATTGAGCACACGATGCTCGCAGACGGTTCGGGACCATCCATGGTGTCCATCGCGCGTCCAGGCATGCGCAGAACACACGAAATGGCCCGAATTGTGTCTGCAAGCGCGGGCCTTGCGAGGCCCGCGCGCGCGGTGTCGGAGCGAGGTAAGAACCGACGAGTGGCCGACAGCCGCCGCACGCGCGACGCGGGTACGACCCCCCGTGCGAGGGGGCGCGGGGTGGAGGCTGCTGGAGGCCGCGGCGACGCAGTTCGGCGTGGTTTGCCCCTAGTGTACGATTACTAGGTTAGAGGACTATCACTTCAAATGGCTTGTTCCCGGCGAGATTGAGGCCAAATGAGCTGATTTTTTGATGGAAAGACGTGCAACTAACCCGTTCTTGACATTCGGCGCCTTCGGCGCCTCTTTTTTATTATTATTTTTTTTCTTTTTTTCTCCTCGCCACTGGCCCCACATGAAAAAAGTGCCGGATTTCGGGGGACGCGAAAATCTGGGGAGCTGCGTGGTGCGGCGCACCATGGCGAATGTGCCGATTTATGGCTAGTGCACAAGATCCTGCACGAGAGGTCCCGCGCGGCGTCCGTCGCGGCGCCGCTAGGACGCCGCGTGCCACGCCATCGCTTGTCTGAACTTACACTACCACGGCGACATCAACGCCCACTACGCGGCGTTCCAGGAGGACGTCGACCTGTCGGCGTTCTACCCTTTCTACGCGCACGTCGCGTTCTTCGACATGCACCGGTCCGAGCGCTTCCGCACGTCCGGAGCCCTCGGCCGGTACCTCGGCGCGGCGCGGAACTACGGCTTCGGCGCCATCCGCGTCCAGATCGGCCGCCACGTGCGCATCGTCTCGAGCCACCACTACGTGGCCGCGCCCGACGTCGAGCTCGACGTCGCCCGCATGGCGCCCATGGTCCCGCCGCCGCTCTCGCCGGGCCACGGGGCGCCGCACTTCAGCTACCTGCCGCTGGACACCCTGCCGAACTCGCAGCCCGACGCGGACGGCGACGGCTCCACGGTCCCCGCGGCCGACGAGACCGCGGCTCCGGGGGAGCTACGCTCTCCCCTCGCGGGGGAGCACGGCTCCGCGTCCGCGGGGGAGCTTCCCGACGGCAGTCCGCCTGCAGCGGAGAAGGCGGAGCGGGATCGGGAATCTCCGAGGCTCGCCGATTATGGCCTGACTGGGCCTGCGACGACCGCCGGAAGTGCGATAAAACGTCGATCCAACCATACTCGCCCACCCGCGAACCACCTCGCGCCCCCCGCGAGTTAGTTAAGTGGCGCCCAATCACCAAACACGGATGTCACATGTGCACCGGGCGGGGGGGGTCGACGTCCTCGTTCCTCACCTCGTCCGTCGCGCAGTCGAGGGTCGTGATCTTCGCCACGCTCACAGACGCAGCAACGAAGGCTTCGACGTCGCCGACGGTGTCGTCCGGCTTGCAGAGGTCGACGCGCGACACGGACGCCGGGCGCGCGAGGTCGCGAAGCGCGGCGAGCACGTGGGGCTTGAGCGTCGCGTCGCAGTCGGCCGCGGGCACGCCCGCGTCGTCGCAGGCGGCGCCGACGTCCCGCGACGCGTCGCGCGCGGACCAGAGCGCGCCCCCGCCGGGCACGGCGACGGCGAACGACCGCTGGGCCCCGCGCCATGTGAAGTGGAACGTCGCGCGGATCTCGCCGTCGGGCCGGACCTCGGCGTCATAGCCGTCGGCGGTGGCCGCGGCGACCGCCGCGTCGCGCGGCGGCGCGGCCAGGAGCGAGTCGCAGACTCGGCGCTGGACGCGCGTGTCCGCGCGCGGCCTGTTTTGCATGCTGTGCAGATGGGCGCTCCCCATCGCGCGCCAGCCCCAGAGGCCGCCCCAGACCGAGTGGGGCCTGGCGCCAAAGTCGCGGTTCGCGAATTCGAGGAGCGACTCGCCGGCCGCGGACGTCGCGACGTCGCCGCCCGCGAGCCAGTCGTGGGCGCTCGCGTGGTCGCCCGACGCCAGCGTTGCGTGGAGCCGGTACGTGCAGGTCCCCCAGACCTGGGCAAACAGGGGCCACTTCTGGTCGATGGCCAGCCCCCCGAGGAGGCGCCGCGCGGACGCCGGGAGCGCCAGGGCGCCCGCGTACCTCGACTTCAGCGTCGCGTCGCACGACGCGCAGAGGACGCGCGCGTTCGCGTAGACCAGGAGCGCGGCCAGCAAGGCTTGGACGCGGCCGCCGCGGCGCCCATTTTCTCCTCGCGGCGGCGGCGGCGGCGCGAGCAGGAGCGGCGCGCTCGCGCCCAGGGCGACGAGGGGGAACTCGAAGATCGCGAGCGTCCACAGGTTGACGCCGTGGAAGAGAACCAGCGCCGCCCCGACCGCGCGGCGCCGCGCCAGGAGCAGCGGTCCCAAACCGAGCTCGAACAGGACGGCGCCGCGCGTCAAAACCCCCCCAAGCCTCGGGGGAATCGCGCGCGCGGCGCGGGCGCCGAGCGGCGCCGCGTAGACGGGCATCGACAGCGCTGCGCGCAGCGCGCCGCCCGTCCGCACCCACTCCTCGCGCCCGAGACCGGCCTTCTCGGCGCCCGCGAAGGCGTGCGTGGCCCAGATCTGGAAGAGGACGCCGACGGCGCCCGCGCTCGGCCCCGGGTCGTCGGGCGTGAGGGCGACCCAGAGCTGGACGAGCGCCGCGTACGCCCACTGCTTGCCCAGGCCGTGCGACTCGGAGCACGCGCGCTCCGACGAATGCAGCAACACCCAGAGCAGGGTCTCCCGCAGCGGGCTCGCCGGCGCATCCCTCGACGCCGCGAAGAGCTGCGCCGCGCCGAGCGCCGCCTCGAGCGCGTAGAGGGCGTAGGACGCGCCCTCGACCTTGACGTCGTGGAGCGACGCGTGGCCCACGGCGCCGACGCGGCAGAGGCCCCCGGGGCCGTGGAGCGCGTCGTGCAGGTTCGGCAGCAGGTTCCCGCGCGCGTCCAGCAACGCCGCGAAACCGCCCGTCGCGAGGAGCCAGCGCCGCGCGCCGCGCGGCAGCGAGAAGGCCCGCCGGAAGCGCGGGCACCGGTCTTCGACGCGGAGGTCGAGCGCGCGATCGAGCGCCGCGACCACCGCGGCGACGGCGAAGCACGCGGACCACGCGACCATCCACAGGGTCACGTAGTCCTCGAGCGTCGACGGGAGGAGCGCCGCCGATCCTGCCGGCGCGGCCTCGCCCGCGGCCTCGCGCTCGCCGGCGTCCGCCGCGGCGTCGGGCTCGTACCGCGCGGCATCGTCGTCGTCCAGAAGCGATGCGCCGGGCTCGGACCGCGCGGTGTCTTCGTCGTCCAGAGGCGCAGCGTAGTCCGGAGACGCGGCGTCCACGTCGGACGCCGCGGCGTCGCCGTAGGGCGCGGCGTCGCAGGCGGCGTTCAGGCGGGCGTGCGCCTTGATGTACTCGACGGCGCAACCGTCGTCGGCGCAGCCCATCTGGTCGAGGGGCAGCGCGAAGCGGGCCACGAACCCGCGCACGGCCGCGTCGAGCTCCACATCGTCCGCGAAGGCGAGGCCTACGCCCGCGCCGTCGACCTGGATCGTGACCTCGCAGACCCGTGCCCGAGCGCCGACCGCGGCGTAGGCCAGCGCAGCGCGCGCGACGCGGCGCGTCATTCAGATGCAGCCTTCTCCGAGCTGCGGTACCCCCCCATCGAGGACACAGCCCGGTCCGAATTTTCGACGAGCGGCAGAGCTACTTGTAGTAGTTTCCGTCCACTTGGCCTTTCGTATCTCCCACTAGCCTGAGCTAAAGGAAGCAAGTAAAATCCTCCCTCAAGGGGAGGTTGAGCTCAGTTTCAATTAAAGATGCCAGAATGAAGGCCGACGGACCGCGCTTGGATGGCGCAGCCACCTCAGCGGGGATGGAGGAGGGTAGGGCAGGGCGGGTGCTTCATTTGTGCCGACTCAGAAGGATATGGAAATGCGGCTATTGTTGCCACAATCATTATGATAGGTTAGCATGCAAATCCTCAGCTCCTCAAACCTACTTATCATCAGTGGGTCGGACGGAGACTTGCTGCCGCTCCGCTTGGTAATTCCGCCCATTAGCTTCTCCACTTAGTCTTTAGCTTTTCCGAGAGTCTGCCACGTGCCCGGCGGGGCGGAGGCGAGCCAGGGGCGAGGCGGGGAGCGAGCCGGGGACCTAGGGGCAGGCAGCCGGGAGGCTGCCCTTGAGTATGGAGGTCGATGGTGAGGTGGCCGGAGGCCATCCGAGGTTGAGGTAGGAGTTGAGGGTAAGTTGCCCGACTCCACGGCGCAGCCGTTCTGCGTCTCGTACATGAGCGCCTCGTCTCGCAGGAGCGCGTCGACGACGATCGCGTCGACGCGCGCCAGGGAGTCGCCCGCGCCCTCGAGGATCTTCAAACCGTGGCCCTGCGCGTCGACGTAAAGAAAATCGACGTGCGCACCGACGGGCAGCAGCACGTCGAAGACCGACTTCAGCGTCATCGTCGGCACGCGGCGCACGCCGCCGACGGTCGCGGATACGCACTTTTTCACACAAAAAAAAAAAAAAAAAAGAGGCGCCGAAGGCGCCGTTCGGGGCCTGGACCGGAGCGCCCAGGAGAGGAGCCAGGATACGCCTAGGATACCCGTAACGCAGTCTCACTCTGATCTGGGCTATGTTCCCGCTTTCGCGCTGTGAGCCACCGCGCTACACCTGCTAGCTGTGCGCAGCTACACAGCTGCGGGCCTGCGCGCAGAGCGCGCCGCCTGCAGCAGACCCACCGCTCGCGAGCGGCGGGTAGCCCCTGGAACCAGAGCGCGCGCCGCCGCAGAGCCCGGCGCCGCGCCGCGCTCCGGTCCAGGCTCCACCAGCGCCCGCGCGCAGCGCGCGCGGCGCAGCGGCGAGGACACCAGCGCCTCGCCTTCCCAGATCAACACTTTCCTGGACCGTGGAGCCGTCGCCGCCCGCGTCGGGCTGCGAGTTCGGCAGAGTGTCCAGTGGTAGGTAGCTGAAGTGCGGCGCCTCGTGGGCCGGCGGTAGCGGCGGCGGGACCATGGGCGCCATGCGGGCGACGTCGAGCTTGACGTCGGGCGCGGCCACGTAGTGGTGGCTCGAGACGATGCGCACGTGGGCCCGGTGGGAGGCGCGAACGTCTTTTTGCTCTAAGTAGCGGAGCGCGACGAGAAACGCGAGGTCGCAGCACGGGCGGTGTGAGAGATTTCTACCTTCATACGACTGAGCAGTTTGGGGGTTGGGCGCCGCGGGTTTCTAGGTTTAGCATAAAAAGCCATGTAATAATTACAGCCCGATCAGAGGTCTCCGTTCCCGGCCCGCGCGTACGTGTCTGGTACTCAAGCCAGCGAAACGGCTAGCCATTCGTCCCAATCCGAGCGCTTGTTTTTGTCACGTGTGGCTGGGTTGTTTAAGATCCCGGATCGAATGGCGCGGATCGGATTCGAGAAAATCGATGGTAAAGAGGGCTTTGGCAGTGGTGATGGGCACCTTTGGCAAGCTCTATCTCGGCGCCATGGCCACCGATTTGCAAAATTCTTGTTGCATCTGAAAGCCGGCACCGCCGTCTTGCGCGCAGAGCCACTAACTCAAAAACTTCAAGAGCCTCACAAATCCGGTTTTTTATTCAACCCAGCCACACGTATAGCCACCCGGCGTCCCTGGGCGCTAGCAAAAAAACGGCAGGTTAGGGCGTCCGACGCGTCGGCCATCGGACGCCGTCGCCGGAGCAAGACCCCCCATAATAGTAGCTGCCTCCCGACGTGCGGAACCCTGCCACTCTGATTTCTAGATTGCGCCGTCGTCGGACGCTGCGCTCCGCGGCTCACTCGAGCCTTTGAAGATGGCGCTGCGCATGTGGGCGTGGGCCCTCGTCGCTGCGCGCGCCGCGGCCATCAAGCACACCTTCGACTTCACGGATTCGTTCATCGACGACCACCGCGCGGGATCGCAGACGTCGACGTTCAACTTCTCCGACTTCCGCCTGCAAACGCGCGCGCAGCCGCGCGGCGCCCGCCTCAAAGCCTCGTCGACGCGCGCCGAGGGTTTAGAGCATCGACGGCGCCCCCTCGACGCGCGCAATGAACAAAAGAAGAAAACTCTCACATTATTATCAAAAAAGAATTCAATTGAATTTTCATTGCGTTCAAACTTTTGTTCATTTAACTTTTTATAGGGTGCCCCTCATGTCTGAGCGGCATCGGTAGGCACGTACTGCCCGCGCGGCATCCAGAACTTCTCGTGCCCGGCCGCGGACCGCCTCTGCGACGTCCAGGCTGAGGCTCAAAACTTCTGCGAGGGCGCCTGCCAGCAGCTCGGCGCGAATGCCCAGCGGTGCGCGCTCTCGGTCTGGCGGGACCATGCGGAGCAGGAGTTCCTCGTGACGCTGAACGACCCGCGACACACGTGCGCGTTCCCCGACGAGCTGGACCGCACGAATCACTGGTTCGAGGAGGCGCGCGCCGGGGCGGAGGGGGGGCGCCGCCTCGACGCGCGTCGAGAAGAGAGCATGCAACGCTGAGAATCGCCAGGTCGCCGCGCGCGTGCCCCTGCTGCTCGCGCGTCACGAGGCGCGATACCCGGGCTTCCTACGAGGCCAGCTCCGGATCCTGGAGATTGGGTCGTACGAAGGCGGCTCCACAACCTTCTTCCAGCGCGCGCGCCCGCGCCGGCCTATCCTCGGCGCGCGTCGACATGACGCGGCCTCGACGCGCACCGAAGAGCCCGCGCAGGCTACCTCCTCGCGCACGCGGATTCCAGTTTGGTGACCGTCGACGTCTGGCCCGACGCGGCCACCGCGGCCCGGTTCCTGAAGAACGTGCGGGCGTCGGCGAACGCACGCAAGGTGGACGTACGCAAGGGCGACTCCGCGCTGAGGGTTGCGGAGCTCCTGCTCGCGGGGCGCGAGTTCGATTTCATATACGTGGACGGCTCGCACCGGGCCACGGACGTCTTGCTCGACGTGTCGCTCGCCTGGCGCCTCCTGCGGAGCGACGGTCGGGGCGTCATGCTGCTTGACGACTACGCGCGCGGCGAGCCCGCGCCTCCGAGCGGGCCTTTGAGTCTGGACGAGGGCGCTGACACGGGCGACGCGCGATGCGCGCGGCGCGTGCGCGACGCGGGCGAGCTCTCCATGACCGAGGCCATCGACGCGGTCCTCAGCAGCGCGCCGGGCGGCGCGGAGGTGCTCTACTGCGGCTACCTTCGTGCGCAAGCGACGCGGGCCCGACCGCATAAGACACGACCACTCGGCCAACCTCACGTGACAGCACTATGATTATCTCGTCCGAGTCCTCTACGGCGATGAAACCCATAAAACGATGGTCCATGGACTGCGCGCGAGCGCTTCATAATAGGAAATGAGCCGTAGTGATTATAATTGCCCAACGTATTGCCGCGAGAGACACATAAATTGTTACCTGCTTCTCAGGCTGTGACTGGGATTACGATAAACCCAATTTCTTCTGCTGAAAACGAGGATGTAGTGTCTCTGTACGAAGAAAACCCATGACATGTGCGCAACGTAACGGCAAGGCATATTCTCTCCCATTTTCTTGCTTCTGGGCGCTTGCTTTCTCAAGACAAGTCGCAACACTGCGCCGCTTGGTTCGGCAGCGAGCTTAGCAAACATGTTACGACAATGCCGCCTATCCGCCTAGGGTGCCTAGGCCTGGAGGGCCACACACCACACCTATTGACCGAGCAGCGCCGGCCCGGGGCGCAGTGGGGCGCGGTGTCATTCGCAGACGCTGCCTCCGGTGCGAACTCCTCGTGCAGGCGCCGCTGGAGCGTCCAGCGGGAGTTGGAGGGCTCCGTGGCCTGCGTGAGTCGCAGGGGAGTCGGCGCCGCGCAGAGAACGACCTCGGGCGTGGCGAGCACCTGGTGCGCGACGCTGGCCTCCGAGTTGAACGCGCGGAAGTACCTGGGATGTGCGTGGCGGTTCCGGGCGTCGCGCCTCGTCGACCCCCTCTCCGACCATCGGCGTCGGGCTTCCGCGCGGGTCGGCGCTCCTGGGCCGTGAATTCCGTCCGGGACGAGAGGCGCGCCGGGGCGCCCGCGGCCACCGCGCCCAGCTCCCGAAGGTGGTCCGCGACGAAGAGCTTGAGGTCGAGGGGCGTCGCCGGGCGCGCGTCCCCGAAGATGCGGAGCGGGAGCGGCAGCCACCACCACTTGACGCCCGAGAGGTCCGACTCGAGGAGCGCGCCCCAGTCGATCGGCACGTAGGGCTGGCCCTCGCGGCCGCCCTCGGGCCGCCAGTAGACCCCGAGGACCCGCCGGAACATGGGCCCGAACGCCGCCAGGAACGCGCCGCGCGCGCCGTAGAACACAAAGTCCGACCGGCAGTGCACGGCGCCCGGCGCCGGGCGCAGCGACGCGTACGGCAGCGGCGCGCGCTCGTCCAGGTCCGTCCGCGTCCGCACGAGGACGTCGAAAGCCTCGAGGCGCGCGCCGAAGGCGTCGAGCGCGAGGTCCAGGAGCGCCCACTGCCACACCTGGCCGTGCACCTTGCGCTCGTCCATGGCCGCGCCGAAGTGCGAGTGGCCCAGGCCCACGTTGTGCCTCGCCAGGAGGTGCGAGAGGGCCGCGGCGTCCGCGTAGACGGCCTCCGCGCCGAGCGCCTCGGCCTCGGCGCGGAATTCCGGGTACGTCGCGACGAAGGTCGAGAAGTCCGCGAGGTCGCGCCGGAGCTTGGCCCGGTGCGCGTCCCCGAACACCCGCAGCTGGCCCGTGACTAGAACGGCGACCTTCGTCCCCGACGTTTCGTCGGGCGCGCAGCGGCTCGCGAAGTCCCGCTCGCGGAGCCAGCTGGCGGCCACCACCCGCGCGCCGTCGGTCGTCTCCTGGCCCCAGACCGTCGTCCGCGGCACCTCGAAGGTCCCCGGCTGCGTCGCGATCAAGTGAGCGGCGTTTGCCGAAGCGGCCGCCTCGACGGCCGCGCGCACCGACGCTTCGCAGTCGCCGCCCAGCTGGGCGTCGCCGCAGAAGTGGCCCGCGACGCGGGCGTGGTCGGCGTCGCCGCGGAGCTCCACGAAGACGTGGGGAACGATTTCCATCGTCCCGCCGCGCAAGACCCGCCAGCGCGCGGGCACGTCGAGGCCCTCCAGGTCGACGACCTCCGCGAAGTCCTCGTGCGCGGCGCAGTGCCGGCCCTCCCCGGCGCCGTGCGCGTCGTAGTGGGCCGCGAGCGCGCGCGCGTCGCGGCCGAAGGCCGCCCGCACGTCCGGGTACCGGTCCGCGTACGCATCCCAGTCGCACGCCGGCGCGCGGCGGCCCATTTCGGCGGACCGCCGCAAGTACCGCCGCTTTGCTTGCTAGGCTAGGAGAGGTTAACAGCTAGAGGGCCTACCCGGGGGGGTTGCGGCACCAGCGTCAGCGCCTAGGATACGCATCCCCCGTGTCCTCCTCCTCCTTAACCTAGCTTCTAACGCCCCGGCTATGGTTCACCTCATCTGGCGGACGCGGCGGACGCGGCACGGGGTCATTTTATTGTTCCATCGCGTGATCTCACGGATCAAATAAGATCCCCGATGCTGGGAGAGCTCGACAGAGAGACACGACCTCGATTCCACGAACAACGAGGCCAGGCGCCGCGCACGGTGGCCTAACTGCGTGACCGCGCTGCAGGAGCCATCCGAGTTCCCTGGCATTCTGCGTTCCGCTACCTACGCCGGCTCGGGGTCGCTCTGGTGCCGTTTGCCTGGCGTAGTTGTTGTGCTTCGCCACTTGAAATCGTCCTTTGAGAGGGCTGCCCGAAATAGAAACGGCGCCAAACGGAGACGATGCTGGAGCTTCATCTTCGAAAGACCCCGCGGCCGCTGCAGCGGATGAGACGCTCGGGCGCTGCGACGTAGGTGCCGTCGTCGTGGAAGATGAGGTCGTAGGTGCGATTGCTGCGGTGGACTCTCGCGACGGTCGCGTTGGCCCAAGTGTCGTCGTTTCTCGCCGCCTCGACGACCTGCCTCGGCGCGAAGGGCTTCTTGCCAGCGATGATCTGGTGCCAGGGCTCCTGGAGGAGCATCATCAGCATCGTGTAGCCGAGGCAGCCCTCGACGGCCTCGCGGAGGAGGTCGAAGTCCCAGACGTGCCAGTGCGCGTGATTTTCGTCGACGCGGCAGTTTCGGGTCGCGGCCGCGGTCGCGACGTCGTCTCGCGCTTTCGCGTCGTCTCCGTCGCAGAGCGTGAAGATGTCCGGATTGAAGTTTGGCTTGCCGTCCATCGACTTGAGAAAGGCCTCGGCGCGCGACCGGAGGACGTCGTCGTTGAAGGACGCGTTGAGCGCCGAGAGGTGGAGGAGCGCTTGCATCGTCGACGGATCGCGATGCGCGTCGTAGGACACGGCCGGCGCCCAGGGGACGACGAGGATGAGGACGCCGCCGGGCTCGAGGACACGGTGCCACTCGCGCAGCGCCCCCAGCGGATCCAGAAAGTGCTCCAGCACGTGTGACGTGAAGACGACGCGATACGACTCGTCGGCGATGCCGTCGAGCTGCGCGCCGTGCCGCTGATACGTGGTGCCCAGGGACGGCTGCCCCGCGAGAGGCGCGAAGGGAAGCCCCTCGAGGTCATTTTGGTCCACGCCGTAGAACTCCCGGCTCGCCCCCTTGCCGACGTCCATCTGCCCCGTCCGCGCGAAGTGGTTCCGTTGAACGATGTTGTCCACACGCGCCGCCATGCCGTAGACGCTTTCGGCCCAGGGTGTCGGCCCGCCGATCTCCAGCATGCGAATTTCGGACCGCAGCCCATCGATCGGGAACGACGCGTGTGACCACTGCTCCCCCAAGTCCACCGAGTGCCACTCGTACCGCCGCTGCGTCGACACTTCGTAATGAGGATTCGGGCAAAGCTCTCGCAGCGACGCATCACACGACCACCACACAAGCGCGCTGCCGAGGCACCGACCGCGCCGGGCCATGCGTGCAGAACCAGATCCAACGGCCCCTGCCCTGGGCCCCTCCAGATCGATCCGCCTGCGTTTATTTTTGTTTTACAATAAATAATAATTATTAGGGAAATTGCTATGTTGGATCATAGCGACGTTAGTAAGCTAGCAAACTATCCTAACTTTCTAGGGTATGGGCCCGCGGTCGCCCGACGGGAGGTCCTCATAGAGGTCCTCCGTCCACCGCGCACGCGGGGGTCACGCCGGAACTCAAATTGAGGCAAAATTGGTGAAATGTGGCCCCGGCCAGGCTGCAACGACCTCAATCAAGCCATTCTAAGCATACTAGAACTTACTGTGCAGCTGTACGTCTTCTATATTCTATTTTGCAGTGTGGTCGCGGAGCGTCCGTCCGAGCAGCAACATAAAACTTTCAATGAGTGGTTTAAAGCGAGCGCAGCGAGCAACCTCAATCAAACGAGTGGCGATAGCTCGCGAAGCGAGCTTGCCGGCCGAAGGCCGGCTTGTGTGCTTTAATATCCGCTATGGCCCGCCCCCCCCCATCGCGTGGAGTACGCCGCGCCTGGCGCGCGTGCTTCGTGACCGCCGTCGCGAAAGGCATGGAGATTATAATTGGCGACGGCAGTTTGGTGACCTACGACGGCGGCGACAACGCGGCGAGGGCCCTGTACTTCTGCGTGTCGCATCAAGTGGACGAGGAGGAGAATTGCGTGCAGGAGGTGTTGCGCATGAGCCGCGTACTGAACGAGACGGCGACGAGCAAGAAGAGTGTGTGGTGCGCTACTGGCGACGAGAGTTGCACGCGGGAGTGCGGCCCACACGACACGAAGGTCAGCGGGGAGAACCGAGCGATCATTCAATCCTTGAGCGCCGTGGACGACTACTTCGAGGCGCCCTCGTGGCGGCCTCGGGGCGAGGCCATGGTCGACGCGGTGTATACGCGAGTCGTCGAGGAGGGAGCGGGCTACGTCGTCTTTCCGCGCTATTTCACGGAGGTACGTGCGCGCGCGCGCCGAGACGCGCCGCAAGCGCGGTCCTTCCTCTTTCTTTCGGACACCTGGGTTTGTATGGCGCGTTCTTTCGGTTGAGTCGCGCCCCACGGTAGGCGCAAACGAATGAGATGCGGGAGGAGATGGACGCCCTGCTCCACGACGGGAGCTGCGTGCCACGGGGCGCCGAGGGAGCCGGCGTCGGGACGCTTTGGGCAGCCGAAGCGTATAGCCCGGCCATCTTCGCGCACGCTGCCGACGAGGGCCTCAAGGCGGCTGCGCTCAAGTTGTTGAACAGCTCGAGCCAGGGACGAGCGGCCCTCGAGGACGACTTCGAGCTCATCGTCGGCAGCACCGCGTTCTTTCAGAACATGGACGCGCGGTCCAGGGCAGGAGAAGACCACACGTGCTTGCTTGCTTGCTTGCTTGCTTGCTTCCCTCCTTCCCTCCTTGCTTGCTTGCTTACTTGCTTGCTTACTTGCTTGCTTCCTTGCTTCCTTCCTTCCTTCCTTCCTTGGCTCAGGAAGTGAGGAAGAGAGGTGATCGCTCACCGGTGCAGGCGTGCTCGAACGACGCGGCATTCCCGAGTCCCCTCTGCGGCATCGTGTCCGTCTCACCGGCATCAGGCTACCACATCGACCATCTGTCGGCCGGGGTGAAGGCGCTCATGTACCTTGACGACGTCCGCACGGACGAAGGTCCGTTCGTGCTCCTCAAGGACTGGCCGACGGCGAGGAACGAGACGCTCGACGACTGGGGCTTCACGCTGCCCGATCCTGAAGTCCTCCCCGTCTGCGTCGGCGAGGTGGAAGTCACGGGGAAACGCGCCCTCCAATTCTCGGAGGATCACGTCACGGACCTCGTACGGCGGAAACTCGTCACGCCGACCGAGATCCACGCGCCTCGCGGCTCTCTCGTCGTCTTCGACGTCACGACCCTTCACACGGGCAAGGGCGTCCTCAACTCGAGTCGCACGTCCGTAGAGCGCCCGTGTAGTATACGATCGACGACCTGGTTCTGCGTCTTGGATGTCTGCGACGAAGACGCGTCTCGTAGGTCACGAACGCATACAGCCTCTATCATCCGAACGCGCGGAAAACCTTTCCGGAAAACACCATGAAAGACCACCTCCATCGCTTCTTTTACGGCTTCAAATCGACCGACAGCGTTGCCAAATTCGCCGAGCACGAAGCCATCGAGGGCGGCTACATGCCGACCTGTGAACAGATGTCCGCGTGGAGGGGCCCCTCGTTGCACGTCTGAGCCAGACTGCAGCCGGACGCTGACCAGTGGTACTGCGCTCGTGGGCAAATTCAGCATCGGCGCCAGCCAACGCCACGCTGCCGCGCTGCGCCGAGTGGCTCACTATTGAGCATCCTCTTCTTCAACGTCGTCGGCCTCGGCTCCGAGGCCGCGTGGCGCGTGTCGTTCGTCGTGCCCGCGTTCATGACGGGGTCCATCGCGGTCGCGCGAGTTCGTCGACGACAAGCTCTTCGGCGCGGGCTCCGAGGCCGCGCGCGCCGCGGGCGGCGTCTTCGACCTGCTGCCGGACCTCGCCGTCGCCGGCGCGGCGCCCTTCGAGTTCTCGAACCACGTGAACCTCGAGCGCGGCGTCCTGCGACCGCTCGGCGACGACGCGGGCCGCCGCCTCTGCGACGCGCTGCGCGAGGGCGGCGATGTGTGCGCCCTCGACAGTGTCTCCGAGCTCTACCGCGACGGCGACGGCGGCGGCGTCTGCGCAACCGTATAACTATAAAGAATCTAAGTCTCGTATATCAAGTGCCGGTGAGCTGTTGCACTGGTGCTCAAAATCACACGGGTCCCGTATGCCCCCTTGGTTCCAAAGGCATTCAAGTTAGTTAGAGGATCCCGATCCTGAGAGTATCCCTAGTTAGGCCCCTCCTCTCCTCCCTTGTACTTTAATTCTCCACGGTTTATGCGTAAGGAGAGTTGCGGGGCTGAACCTGAAAAGGGAATTCCTCGTAGTCAGTGTAGTGAACTTGAAAAAGGGATCTACCTGAATTGAGTAGCCTCGTGATTCCCTATCATCCCCATAATTTACATTACCCTGTTCCCTCTCTATCGCGACGTCACACTATGGAGATGACACTGCACTTCCCCGTAACGTTGAACTCAACGTTCCTTAGTACCCTAGTTTGGGGTATTTCCCTCTACGAGTCTTTTATCTGCATTGTCGACCCTATCACTTGGGGAACTTTAGACCTGTGAACTAACTTACTAACTGTTACTTACGGCTGTAATACACGATGAGGAATCCGCGCCAAGGGCAGCCGCTCCGATGACGGCGCGGAGCCTCGTCCTCCTCGCGACCTGGGCGCGCGCCGAGTGGTGCGCCGTCCAGATCGCCAACGTCTTCGGCGACGCGCCGCTCAGCGTCGAGTGGCGCCTCGACGCGGCGCCGGACGTCGTGGCGGCGGCGGCGGCGGCCGTCGTCGACGAGCTGCCCGCGTCTGCATGGCCGGCCGCCGTGGAGGCGGCGGTCCGGTCCACGATGGCGGCGCACCGCGCCAACGGCTGCGCCGGGTCGCCGGCGCCGCGGTGCGTCTTCGACGCCGCGGCCGATCGCTGCGGCGGCGTCGCGGAGAATCTCGCGGCCGCGGCGCCCTACGCGGCGACGAATCTCACGGAGACCCTCGCCCTGGCCTGCGCGAACTGCGACGTCGCGTGCGGCGGCGGCGGCGGCTGCGCGGTCGCGGCGGCCGCGGCGGCCGCGGCCGCGGCGGCGGCCGGCGGCCGCGGCCGCGGCCGCGCGCGCGGCCGACGCCGCGGAGGCGACGGCGCGGACGTCGGCGACCGTTGAGAGCGAAGGCGTCGTCGTTGAAGCGGCCTGGGCCGAGCGGGGCCGGGACCTCGTCGTCTTCGCGTCCGTGGGCGGCCGCGAGGTCGCGCGGCGCGTGCCCTGGGCGTCGCGCGAGCGGCGCCACGGCGCGGCCGCGGTCGCCGCGGCCTTCGCGCGGACCGCGGACGTCGGCGCGGCCTGCGGGGCGGCGGCGCGCCCCGCGGGACGGACGTGCGCGGTCGTCTACGTCGGCGACCTGCGCGTCCGGGACGAAGCGCACCTCCGCGACGTCCGCGCGCGCGCGGAGGGCTGCGAGGCCTACGCGGTGACCTACGCGCGCCACGCGACCGTCGCCGAGGCGCTCGCGGGGCCCCGCGTCGCCTACGCCGACGCCGCCGTCGCCGCGGCGCCCCGGGGCGCCCACGCGGAGGCCCAGCTCGCGGTCGCCGTCGACCGCTTCGGCGCCGCCCTGCGCGGCTTCGACGCGGTCGTCTGCGCGCGTACGGACGTCCTGTGGGCCGACCCGTCCTTCCGGCTCGCGTCCCTGGCGCCGTCGCGCGACGGCGTGCACGCGCGCTACGACCTGTACCACTACGCGCGCGGCGCGACCTTCGTACGCGTCTTTGCGACGGCCCGGGCCTTTGCGGACCGCGGCGCCGCGCGCGGCGGCGGCGGCGGCTTTCTGCCCTTCGACGCCGCGGCGGCCCGAGCGTCGGACCTCTCGACGGTGCGCTGGTGGTGGCTGTCGCTGCCGCGCGCGGCGTTCGACGCCTACCCGGCGACGCTCGCGGAGCTCAAGGCCGCGCTCGGTGCCCGCGGTGGCGCCGTCGACACCGCGCCCCTCGGCGCGCCCGTCGTCGAGGGCTACGACGTCTCCGTCCGACCGGGCACGACGGGTTTCGACCACAACGAGGCCTGGCTCGTCCACCTCGTCCTCGCGGCGAAGGCGCCCCTCTGCGCGGCGGCGGGCGCCGACATCTCCCGCCTCGCCTTCAACCGCCACGCGTTCACCTTCGGCGCGGGGGACGATGGCGTCCTGGAGGTCGCGCCGACGTAACTAGCGTGAGGGGCGCGCGCGTATCCGTCGGGGCCTCGAGGGCGGCCCTTGCCGACGACGGACGAGCGCATCTTCGCCTCCGTTACGGACGGCCCGGGTGCGACCCTGGAGAGCAACAAGCCCGTTATCAGGGCGTCGGGTCTCGCGACCGTCACGTTTCGACTTCAACTGCTCCGCACTATCCGCGACTGTGACGATTGTAAAGCACCATACGAGTACGTCGCTGTCTTGCATCGACACTCAGTCCGATGACCCTGAGAGTGGCCCGCCGCGGGGCCCCACGAGCCGGAGGGGGACGTACACGATCGCCACGAGCTGCCTCTCATACTAATCCGACCACGGCCTCCTGCTCTTCGAGCTCTGCGTCTAAAGTCGCGACACACCTGTTTTACGGGGCAAGCCTTGCTGAGGTCATGGTAGGGTGCATCAGATGGCTTCATGGTAGGGAGCGTCAGAGGAACATCAACGAAGAAGACGTACCGCGGGAGCAGGAGAGAGAGAGAGAGAGAGAGAGAGAGAGAGAGCGAGTAGTGGGAGCGACAGGTGGTAGTAGGAGCGACAGGTGTTTCTTGGTGCGCTGCAGGACCGGAGTCCTCGCGCGTCTTGGTGCGCTGCAGGACCGCACGGTCCTCGCTCGGCAGTGGCTGGCAGTTCGGAAGGTCGAGGGCGATGCGCCTCGTCTCGGCGCGGAGCGCCTCGCCGCGTCGTCTCGGCGCGGAGCGCCTCGCCGCGTCGTCTCGGCGCGGAGCGCGCCCGGGCGCCAGCTAGGGCGGCGGCGGGCCCGGATCGTAGCGCGGCGGCGGCCGGTAGGGCGGCGGCGGGTAGGGCGGCGCGTCGTAGAGCGGCGGCGCGTCGTAGAGCGGCGGCGCGTCGTAGAGCGGCGGCGCGTCGCGGCGCGCGCGGTAGAGCCACTGGCGCGACGCCTCGAGGGGCCCGCGCGGCACGTGGCCGCCGGGCGCGGCGCCGCGGTCGTAGGCGCCGCGCGGGTCGTAGCCGGGCCAGGTTGCCCGCGCCAAGCGGTAGGGATCGTAGGCGTCGAAGGGCGGTGGGTGGCCGGGGCGCGGCGGCGGCGCGTCGACGACGCCGCCGGGAGCCGCGTAGCCCGCGGCGAGGTCCCGGGGCAGCGGCGCGCCCCCGGGGGCCCCGCCGTAGGGCGGGGCGTGGGGCGGCCGGGGCGGGCCGTAGTAGGCCCGGGGCGCGTAGTAGGGCGGTGGCAGCGCGTCGCGGTAGTCGACGTAGCCGCCCGGGTACGCGCCGTCGGCGTAGCGCGCGCCGCCGAAGCTGTCGTCGAAGCCGTAGCCGCCGCGCGGGAAGACGTGCTCGACATTGACCATCTCGCGGCGCTTGTTGCGGCCCGGCGTGATGGGCCCGACGATGGGCTCGTAGGGCGGGAGCGCGCCGAGGTCGTTGGTGAGGATCGGCGCGTCTTTGAGGCCCGCGGCGACGGCGTCGCGGACGTCGTCGTCCATGAGCCAGAGGCTCAGCTTGCCCTTGGGCGCGGACACGGGCTCCTTGAGCTCGATGACGGCGTCGACGACGTTGCAGACCGGGCCCTGGGCCCAGAAGGACCCGCCGCAGTTCTGCGGCCGCCGGCACTCGCGCACGCGGAACGCGCCGACGATCGTCGCCTGCCACCTGGGTAGGAAAAGGGTGATTCGACGCGAGCGTTCCGCGCGCGCGCGCTCCGGAACAAGCATCGACACCGTTCCGAGGGATGATCGCTCGTCCAAAAATCAGCCGAAACGAGTGGAAAAGGAACGTCGCGCCCTGTTTCCCGCCCCGCCCGCCACGAGCGCATGAGCTCTACCTCCGTCGGCAGGCGGCAGTCCGTGACGAGGCCCCGGTAGTCCCCCTCGAAGGCGCCCTTGCCCACGTGGATCGCGATCCAGCCGCCGCAGGGCAGCCGGTACGGCCGGTTCTCGATGACCTTCTTCCGCTTCAGGATGGCCCACGCGATGGTCGCGCCCTTGAACGTCACCGCCCGGTCGACCTCGCCCGGCGTCGCCGCGCCCTCGACGCGCTTCGGCTTCTTGCTACCCGCATCCTCGTCGTCGTCGTCGTCGTCGTAGGCCCGCGGCCGCTTGTCCCCGTCGGCCGCCGCGGCGGCCGCGGCGGCCGGCGGCGGCGGCGCGGCCACGGGCGGCAGCGCGCCCGGGAGCATCGGCGGCGCGCACCGCCCGCCGTCGTCGCCCTCGCCCGGCGCCTCGTCGACGGCCGCGCCGGCGCCATCCTCGGGGGCAGCCCCCCGGTCCTCGTCATCGTCGCAAGGCAGATCGCCGGCGTCGACGCCTGGGGCGAGGGTGGGCTGCGGCCCGCGGCGAGCACGTCGTCGGCTGCCCCAGCCAAGGGACGAGTCCATCGCGCCGCGGCTCGTACTCTGTCTGGCTCCCGGCGTGTCGACTGAGGCGGCTGCATAGGTCAACATACCGCGACAAGGTGCTTGAAGGCGAGCGTCGGCCAACAAACCGCAGCCATTGATTACCTCAAGGTTCTGATGTGGCTGTATTGTAAAGCACCGACGTCGCGAATACGTCGGCGTTTTTGCGTCGTCCAACCGGATGAGCCTAAACATGGCCCGCCACGCCCTGTCCGCGTTCTCGCGGTGGGCGCTCGAGGACGCCTACACCGACCTCCTCGACTTCTGCGACAGCCTGCAGCGGCGCGTTTCGAAGCTGGTGGACGACGTGCGCATCCTGCGGCAGAAGTACGCGTCCGCCAAGGCCGAGAACATGGACCTGATCTGGATCCGGCTCGTGGGGCCGGGCCGGCTGCTCGGCGGGCTGCCCGCGATGGACGACGCCGTCGTGGAGGGCGATGCGATCATGGGCGACTACCGCTTGGGCGCGACGCTCGGCGTCGGCTCGTCGGCCGTCGTCCGGGAGGGCGTCGACGAGCGATCGGGCGAGCGGCTCGCGATCAAGATCGTCGACAAGAGCCGCGCGGCGCGCTACAAGATCGTGCGGCGCCTCAACAACGAGGTCGTGCACATGCGCGCCGTCGAGCACCCGAACGTCGCGCGGCTCGTCGACGTCGTGCACGCGCGCGCGGGGCTCTACCTCGTCCTCGAGCACGGCGGCCGGGACCTCTACGGCTACGTCGGCGCCACCTTCCCCAACATGGTCGTCCCCGAGCCCGTGGCGCGCCACGTCGTCAGCCAGCTCGTCGCGGGCTGCTGCGCGCTGTCCGCGCGAGGCGTCGTGCACCACGACGTCAAGTCCGAGAACGTGCTCGTCGCGCCGGGCGTCGAGGACGGCCAGGTCGCCGCCGTGCGCCTGACGGACCTCGGCATGTCGGAGACCTACGAGCCAGGGCAGCGCGGGACGGCGTTCTGCGGGAGCCCGGGCTTCTTCCCGCCGGAGATGGTCGCGGCCGCCGATTACGACCCGTTCAAGGTCGACGCCTGGTCCATCGGCTGCGTCGCGCTGGAGCTGCTCCTGGGGCGCCAGTGGTTCTCGGACCGCTGGCTGCCCGCGTCCAAGCTCACGGGCGACCCCGCGGAGTTCGCGGTGGCGCTGTCGTCGGCGCTGGCGGACCTCGCGGCGGCGCTCCGGGCGTCGCCGCTGCCCGCGGAGGCGAAGAGCTTTCTGGAGAGCGCGCTCACGGAGGACCCGGACGACCGGCCCGCCATCGAGGAGCTCGCGGGCCACCCCTGGGTCTCGCGCCACCCGCACCTGCGGCGGCTCTCGCGCGCGGGCTCGACCGGCGACCTCGCGGCGGCCGCGGCGGCGGTCCAGGCCGAGGAGGCCAAGGTCCAGGTCGAGGCGGTTGCGCCGCCCCCCGACGTGCCGCCGCCGGCGGAGCCCGCGCCGTCCGTGACGCCGTCGCCGCCGACGTCCGCGCGGACGCGGCCCGCGCGCGAGAGCCGCGTCGCGCGCGCGACGGGCGACGGCGCGCGTGTCATCCCCGACGCGGAGGTGCCTCCCGAGATGGAGGCGCTCCTCCGGTCGTTCCAGACCGCGGCCGCCGCGCGCGGTCCGCTCCGGCGGCCCGCGGCGGACGTCGCGGCGCTCTTCGCGGCCGCGACGCGCCTCTTCGAGGCCGCGGCCGTCGCCGCGGCCACGCCGCCATGCGACGGCGACGACGAGCTCGAGTCCCTCGACGCCGTCGCGCGCGGCGCGTTCCGCGCCGCGGACGCGTTCGTCGAAGGCCGCCGCCCGGACCTCGCCGCGTCCCTCGCGACGATTACGGACGCCGCGGCGCCAAACGCGGCGCCGGAGGGCGACGTGCCCGTCGACGTCACGGTCGAAATGGAGCCTCTCCGCGCGCGGTTCCTGTCTCGCGGCGAACTCGACGAGGGCCGAAACGCGCCCTGACGTTGCATCAAGTCTTGCACCGCCAGGGTGCGTTCTCCTTTTTTTGCTCTTCCTACTTCCAGCCACCTCCTGTCTCCCTTCACGTTGGGAATGGCCCCTGTCTCCCTTTCCTTTTTCTAGTGCGCGCCACGAAAACGAGCCCGCACAAGCGACGTGCGCTTTCGTGGCGCCTTTCTCTAATGTTGTGTCGCGATCGCCTCGAGCTGCCTCTCATACTAACCCGGGTTTTATTGACATGCTGCGCCGAGAGTGCTGCTATATCCGCGCGCGTAACACGAAGGACGATGTGCGCCGGGAGGTTCTTGCAAAGGCAGAAGGGCATCGTCAGCAGATGCTGAAGCGTTTTGG